CTWWYYTWYCKYSTTTWTTYTTTTTTTTTTTTTTTTTTTTCCCCCTTTTWTTYTTTTTYTTTTACTAAAGTTTATCTTGCCATTTAAAAAATCAGCTTAAAAGCTAGAAAAGATTGTATCAGCCTAAGCTCCATTTAACCATTTTTTTGTTTTTGTTTTGTTCGTTTTTTTTTTTTTTTAATAATATAATCTTCGCAGGAACTTGATAAAGTAAGGTGTTTTAATCACTAAAGCGAGAACGCTTTTTTCCATTTGCATTTCTAAACTATTATACTATTTATGTATCCTTTCATGTCATTATAATCATCACTTTAAAAGCACGATGAAGGCGAATTTCGTGTCTTTCGAGAGAATAAAAAAATCAAACAATTATGCGAATAATGAATTCAACGATATTAACTACTAGGCACGTGACACATCAACGATAATAATACTCTTATTCACTCGTATTTTCATTTCTATTACATTCTCACTTGTTTACGCGAAATTAAAAGATCGCGATCGCGCGTATATTAAATTAAACAAATTTGATTATCGTTAGAGATGACATTTTTAGCGAAAGTAAGAATTTGCCAAACGATCGCTTACACTGGGGTGAGGGGGGAGGCGGGGGATCGTCTCGGCATATCACGAGATACACTATTTATATACGTATATATATATATATATATATATATATATATATATATACATTTAATATATTATTATTTTTTCTCTTGTTTTTTTTTGTTCCTTAAATTTTCTTCATCTCCTCCTTCATCTCTTCGTCTTTTTATTCTTCATCATCATCATCATCTTTAATAAGGGCAGTTGCTCAGACTTATATCTTGACGGGATTGTAACGTGGATTATTCCGAGTACGAACGATTTCATTAAACCCTTCGTGTAACGACGTTATTTTTCTTTTTCTTTTTCTTTGCATGATCGATAGATTTTTTGTTTTTTTTTTTTTTTTTGTATTTTTCGATGATGCACAAAGGGTTCCTACGAATTGACTTTGGCGTAGACGAAATTGTGAACGGAATAACGAAGTTAAGTTTTTTCTCGATAAAATTACATACTTTCTTCTTCTTCTTTTTCTTCTTTTTTTTCTTTTCTTTTTTTCTTTTTTGTTGTTGTTTTATTTTTTTATAAGAGAGAAACGACACAAAATTCAATGTTATCTCGACGAATGAAGAACGATAAGAACAATAACAATAATTAATAAATATCTAATAAGAATGAGAAAAAATATGAGATCTTATTCTTCGTTTTATCATCAATGAAAATATAATACGTGTAATATAATATACATACGTATTTCGCACGCGCGCGTTTAACGATCATTAAAAAACAGAAAACACGTTTCTCTGTTGTCTGTGGAAGAGAAACGTGCGAACCCCATTAGAAAAATTACAATACGAGAAATATATATACTTACATCGCTATGTCTCGGTTTATTTAAATGATTATGTTGTTATTCATGTTTTCTCTCGCGTATAGTAGTAGTGTGTATATATATTATTTATATGTATGTATATATGTATATGTATTTATCTTATAACTCATCTCGCTCAATGTTTTTTTCTCTACCTTTTTTAATGTATCATTTTTTTAAGATGTTCGATTTAAATGCATGATGTTGATTGCAAGATGCATTGCAATGTATGTAACATTGAATACATTCTTCTACTTCTTCTTTTTTTTTTTTCGTTTGGATATCAATTATTTTTGTTGGAACACAAAGAGTGGACCGCAACTTGAACAACGTACGACGAAGGGAAGGCAACCCCTTTGATTGGTCGAATTAGCACGTTACTTTCTTCATTTTTGTTTCTACATAGAGAAATTTCAGTCGTGAATATTCACGTTCGAACGACGACGATTTTAAATCGATTTTCTAATTTATTTATAATATATATATATATATTAATTCCAATCAATTCGTCTTCGATCTTTTTTGAAGGAAGAAAAAACGTAGTATTCTTTGATCTCGAATTAATCTTGTTAGATCATCAACATAAAGTTTCTCTAATCGAACCATCCTACGTTGATCTATTAGATTTTCAATCGATTTAGAAACACAAACTTGCCAATTTCAGTGGACTACGTGCTTTGATCGAATCTATTTTAATCTCTGAATAAATCATTCTAAATAGATGAATACTTTGAAATAACAGATGCTTGAATTTACGATTTAACGATGAATTGTTTATGATTTCAAATGCAAGCAAGTGATTTATTTATGCAATTTATGTTCAATTATTCACGTTATTTCATAAACTATAGTAATTATAATTATTTCGGCTTAGGCCTTAGTTTGTTTATTATATCGTTATTATTAACATAATATTATAAACTTTCTTACTCAATCTTGTTATATATAACTTACAATTAATTAATTAAATTTATCTTGATTATTTCTCAATCATTAAAATTGAAATTGTTTGTTGATCTAATTGTGAGTTTGCTTGGAATGATATCATATAATTTCAAAGTTTATATCAATTCAGAACTAATAATGATCAAATTTCGGAACTTTCCTAACAAACGAATTTATTCATCTCCAGCCGTGTGAAAAATACAAAGTTTTCAATGAAATAATAATTTCATGAATATTGTATCCTCTTGTGTAGAACGATTCGATTTGTATATCAATGAGAATACGAATCTGTCGACAATAAATCGATATCTCAGAAACATACGTTTTTCCTCGTTGGACCCAAAACCATAATAATAATAATAATAATAAATCAAGTAAAACGCCAATCGGTCGTAAGCGAAAGTAGTGTTACAAGTTAGATGCGTTATACTAAACGAGAAAAAATGAATGAATAACTAATAATTATATGATCGAAGATTGTAATGTGTTTAAATGTTAAATGAATTCTCTTCCTGTGTGCTTCGTCGTCGTTGTCGTAATTTTATTTTCTCTCTCTTCCTTTGTTTTTTTTTAATCCTATTCCTCTGATTACGAAAATCGAACGATTTCCAAATTTTCTTTGATAAGCTTCAAAACTTTCTTTCAAACGAGACTGTGCTCGCGTGAGTCGAAACGATGAGTGTAAAGAATGGAGGAGTTCGTTCCTGGTGATGTAGATGAGGATGGTGTGTTCGAGCACGTCGGCGATGAAGGCATTGCCTTCTTCGAGGCTGACAATACCTAGGTACTTCGAATTTGTTTCGAACTCGTTTTGTTGTTTTCCAAACTTGAGGCCGGCCTTCCTACGAGGTCCTCCAATTCGTCAGGTGTCAGAACAGTGAAATCTCTGATAGCATAATTCATTAAAAAAATAGTAATAAGCAAAATATATTTATAACAATTATATATATATAATAATAATTTGTAACATTTAACGCAAGATTCACCTGTTTTGAGATAGAAGTTTGTCTATGCTGGTGATACTTCTCTGATGCGTGCCATCCTTCTGAGCAGCCTTTTGTCTTCTGATACAAAGTGCTCGAAGGGGTGCTAATAAAACACCGACGAGAAGAAGACCACATCCAGCAGCTATCAACACAGCCGAGTTTTGTGCGGCTTCGGCTCCTGGTGCAAGTTGAACTAAGCCAACGACGAGCACAACGGATCCAAAAAGTAAAGATCCCACGACAACATGGAGAGAATTTACCTGTTAATATTTACAACAAATATTTTATTTAATACACTTTTTTTCATTTTATTTTATATCTAAGAATATATATATATATATATATATATATACCGTCTTTATATATAATATATACGAATGAAAATCTAATATAACACGCGCGTTAAAGAATTAAAGGGCGACAATTTTTACATGACCCTATCGATTTACTCTTTAAACTTTGCAACGAGTTACAATATAATTGACACTGTCTTTCGAACGTGACAATATATATAATGGTTCGTAAATGTTCTCTTCAAATTATAATTTACGTAGAGACGGTGTGTTCAATTAATATTATTATTATTTAAATCCATTAAGTTACAAGTAAAAAAATTCGATAATTTCTATATTTAAAAGGAAGAAGAATAAATCTTGTAATTCTTTGTTTCTCCGGGGAGATCAATTTCGTTGTGCGAACGTTTTATAGCTGTCTCGATAGGGTAGCTCTTTGTCGCGTTTCTCGCTCGGTTGCACCTCCAGCATCGAGTTTCTCCTTCGACTTTTCGTTATCGAGCACCAAGGTCAAGGTCATCGAATTTTATCCAAAATATAGATCGACAATGTGAACAAGCCTCAAACTCGTTGAACATCGCGTGCTAATGCTAGTTTAAATTTATACTTAATCGGCATTTTCCTATCAAAAGCGTTAAGCCACTTATAATGAGATATTAATTATATTTTTCTCAATGAAAACAATTCAATCGAATTATTTCCGATGAGTAATTACTAACAATTACAAATTATGTGAGACAGAAAGATATGAACGTATATTAATCTAGTAAAAAATTTCATTTTAAATGTCGATTATACTCTTCCATCAAGCGAAATGAAAAACTTCTTAATAAAACGTAAAACTCGATACACGTTGAAATTACGAGAGATTTTTTCGTCCTTTTTCTCTTAACGCCTACGAGGATCGAATGACGTCACAAATATCTCCCTTCCCTCCCTATAACCCCTACGTCAATAACTTAAAATTACTATAACGTAGTAATCGAATATCGATCGACTCACCACGATGCTTTTTTTAAATTTCTAATACAAAAACTGCATTTTATAATATTTAAATATTTCAAAAAAACGCGTCGTAAATAATTTATTATTTATGCTTGCAAATGGGAAGGGAATACAATGAAAAATAACTTTTACTCGCATTACAAAATACTAAATGGAATATATAAATTAAAAATAGAAATAAGACAAAATAACAATCAGTTTATTTTTCATTATTTAAATAATGTTTAAAACACAAGGATATATAATCATTGTTAAACATTCTATGAGTTATTATTATCGAGAGAGTTTTAATGTAAAGATTGGCTTTAATTAAATTTTCATAAAATATTTAAATTTAATTTCAATTGTTTAACTTTGTTTGATTTAATAAAATTTATTATTCCCTACTATTAGGAAAAGTTTATGAGTTTCATATGCGTGGTTGAAGAATTAATTGAAATACTAACGTATGATGCTTTTTAATGTATCGGAGTATATTAAACGAACAGAGATTCTTCTTATTTACCTTTCCACAAAAATAATATTCTGGTGGTTCTTTGTCAGCAAACGCTAAGACTGCTTCGCTTTCTGCCAATGGGCTTCCTGGCTGGCTATTTCCTATTCTCGTCCCCTTTTCTTGATAATAAGTTTTGTGGAAGACCTTTACCGATGGAACTGGTAATGCCGTGATCATCCTGTAAACACGATTATTATTATTACAATACATATTGCATTCTCAGAAAGAATGAGAGAGAGAGAGAAAGAGAGAGAGAGAAAGGGAGAGTAATTTAACGAGAATAAACGTCGACAAAACCAATGTGAGTGACAACTATCAAAATATAATACTGCATTTGTGTATTGACGCCCGTATCCCAAAATAATTCTTATTATTTTGATTCATAGTAAAAGAAAAAAAAAGAATCGAATGATTGAAACTAACAATTTGATATCATTCGTTTTGAATCAATTTTCTTGAAAGAAATTTCAAGAGGCGTATTTTGTTTTGATTTATTTTTATCGGATAATAATAGACACGACGAAGGGTTTATAAAGAAATATTAAATGGTCAATGATTGATTTAAACGTACGTTTGAAATTAGAATTAGAAAGGTATATAGTAAGTTCGTATTTCAATTTGTAATAATATATAGCACGAAATAATAGAACCTCGAAGCGAGGTGTAAATCATCCAGGGTTATCGAAGAGTTGCACGCTCGACGTGGAAAGTGGAACAGCTTTAACGGATGCACGGGCAAGTAGGGGGCTTTCCTAAGGAGGGGTGAATCTTTAGTTTCACTCTGATAACTTCGTTTCGCGGTTTATTTTCTAAAATGTTACATATATGTTATGTTTCGATCGATGTTATTATGTATGATGAGCTAGACGATAATGTTATCTAACGACTACCATTGTAAGAATTCTTTTGGTTCATTAGAGAAAATGTCAACGACAGACATCCTTCCGTGAAACGATTTCATAAAGGTAAAAAAGGAAAACACATCTTTCCGATTGAATTAATTTTTATCATGACACGTGACATCGCAAAAGGTCAAAGAAACATACCTAACCATTTCCTACACACACGTATACGGAAATATGTAAATTTATGTATTCGATATATATTTTTGAAAATATTTTTCGAAATCTAAACGTTTTATATTCTTAATTCGGATATCGATAAAATATGATAACGCACACGTGGACGTTATCTCAAACATACAATTTTTATTATATTATTATTTATTTTTGTATTTTATTTTAATTCCATTTTTTCCCATACACCTTTTTTACGCTATTCTACAATTATCATTAGATATTCTATTGTTTCTAAAATGAAATTCAACGAGTATAAACAATTCATTTGTGCAATAACTATCATTCTCTTTTTCAACGAGATTTTTCTCGTACAACGAATGAATTTAACGAAGCTTAAAAGAACGAAGTAAATGAAGAGCAATCGTGTTTCCTTGCAACATCTCGAGTGAATAGCTACGAATCTTTCGAAAGATGATTACATTTTCCGATAATAAATCGAAGCACAGGGTTCTTCTAAGAAAGGAAACGAGTGTTGTATAGATCGAGTTATCAACCTTCTATTCTGGAAGGTGGCAACGGGTCGAGGATATCGAAAAATTCCAATTGGAAGTATCGGTTTTTTTTTTCTCTCTTATCGATTTGAATAGAAAAGGGGATTTTCCCTAGACGTGTCCTTGAATTAATTGAGCCATCCTAGTTGCGTCGCAGAATCTTTTTCTCCCTCGTGTCTCCCTTTATCATTTTTTTTTCCTTTCCTTTCCTTTCCTTTCTTTTACTCTTGCATACATATATATATATACATTCTTTTATGAAATAGAAAACAAAGGAAAAAGCTCGTCGTTGTCAGGCAAGGGTGCCGGCTGACTAACAAAGCATTACAAACACGAGACACGTGGATCGGTCTATTATGTCGAGAGTGCAGGCACCAGGTGTTAGTGTTACTTGTCTAGTTAGAGTACTTGTAACCGGTGTGATATGGGTGGTGTTGGTAGCACTGCTGCTGCTTTTGCTAGCTCGTGTTGCTGCTACCGATTCTGCTGCTGGTGCTGGTGCTGGTGCCACTGGTGGAGGTGGTGGTGGTGGTGGTGGTGGTGTTGGCCTAGATATATTCTCGGGGCCAACGGACGTTGCACCTCGGTTATCGAACAGCCAGGGCACACAAGGGGTGCAGCTGCACTGTCTGAAAACTATCGCTGCGCTCTCGTCCTTCTACCGTTCGCCTCATTCTCATCGATCGTTCTCTTTCCAGTCTCTTAACGAGACCACCTTAACCCCTTCCCCCTTCTTCGCCCCCTTCTTCCCTCTTTCTTTCTTCTTTTCTTTCTTGTCTACGTATTTTCTTATTTTCCATTTTTTCTCTTTTCAAATCTCAATCTTTTACGAAGGATCATCTCGTATTTTTGATCGATCGACAAATGTTGACTGTATAACACACGATCGATTGAAATATTGCATTAAAATTGAACGTACCTATATTATTTTAAATTTGGACTAAATAAGGATGATGATTTATTACACAGGTTCTCTCGCATTTACCGCATTAGTTTATACGTCAGATTCACTCAACACTGTGTGCACATAGCGCGTTGAACTTTATGAAAGAGATAAATGATATCGTAAATTAGACGCAAACATTAATCACACTTTTATTTTTCAGTTTATTTTTACGAATAAAACCATAACCAATGGAACGTCGATTAATCGAAGGACTTCTTAAGTATGCGGAGTTGTTATTACCTATGATGTGTGTCGATCCTGTGGAAAAATAATATATATATATATATAACGCACTAGACACGTATTTTTTTCTTAAAGCTGCCTTATGATAGACAGTTCGTTATTTTTTCATCCTTTTAATACATTTTTTCTGTTATCCTTCTTCTTCTCTTCTTCTTCTTCTTCTTATTATTATTTTTAATAGATTTCCTTCTTTTTTTAATTCGGTATTTAGTCGAATCACTTATTTTTAAATTATTGTTTGTTATATCTAAAATATACACGATGAGTAAAACGAAATGAAAGATAAAGGAATGACGAGTAAACGCTTTATTTCCAATTAACATGCAAATTCTTTACGTATATCTATATGCATGCGTCTGTATTTGCTCGTCACGAGAAATCTAGTTACTGCCATTGTAAGATTCAAGAGCACGATTATAACGCGGACGCGTTAGCCTTGAGTTTAATCCTTTTAATATCTCAAATATATGCATCGATTTTTCGAAATTATAATTATACATGTATATAAAAAAATAATATTATGCAATAACATTCGTAGATAAAATAATTTATGCGGAATATATATTTCTTTTTTCTTTTTCTAATTGACTTTCATCTAATTAATTATACTTTTATAACGGAGACCGTAATAATTAAAAAAAATATTGCGTATTTTATACGACAAGGGAAGAAAGAAAAATGGAAGAAAATAAAATAAAAATAAAATACACAAAGTACATCTGCGTCATCGAAAATGGTCAAATGCAATTTCGTTTAAACGATACGACGAACTCTTCGTTAGATCTGTTCCATTAAATTTACGTTTGTGGGGGCGTCAGTGATAAACCTTATGTCTTGCGTGTACTTCAATACGCGTACCCGATGACAAATGATACGCGACATGGTATATGTGCAAGCACCATATTTATTTAAGCTTGACGCACGTTTAAGTATCTATATACTTATTTTCGTAGGTACATATATACGCGTAGGTGTTGTTTACTAACGTTTCATGTAAGTACGAATTACATTCACGTATAGGGCCCATTGTCGTCAAAGAATATCATTGATTAACTCTTGTGATTCTTCTTACGAAATATTCTCCTTTTTTTTTTGTCTCTCTCTCTCTCTCTCTCTCTCTCTCTCTCTCTTAATAAATTATTAAATAAATTCTTATATATGTGTTAGTGAAAACTAATAAAAATAAAGAAAATACTTTTGATAACGTTTAAAGAAAATAGAAACCCTTAAAATATTATCTACCCTTTTTCTAGCTAAAGACATTTAATTCAGTCATTATTTAAAAGTACTAATTTGTTAGATATAAGAGATATCTCAAGTTTTTCTTTAACAATGCTGAGTGTCCTCCTCTTAGATACTTTCTTTCTGTGTTCTTCTTTTCTAGACTACTAGCAAATTCCATCAAATATACCATGTCCTTCGTTCTATAGATTTTCAACGTTACTGATTTTCGATTCACACTAAAACGAGGTTTGTAAGGAGTCGGTTACGTGTACGTCGTCTCAACGACAACGACAACGACAACGACAACGACAACGAAGAGGTAACCTTTATTGCACGGAAAGGCGTAAAGTGGGACAGTGGCCTGGTTCCCGGTGTCATGGCTGCAGCTGCATGTGCACCACCAAACGCAGAAAGAGAGAAAGAGAGAGTAGAGTAGTTGAATAGTAGTAGTAGTAGTGTAGTAGAGGCCGACTATAGACACACCACAAGGTACAACCAGTTCGCTGCTCCCTAAGCTTTGGATTTCAGCCAAGCAAGCTTTCAGAGTCCGAGAAAGTACGGAGAAAAAAGAGAGACTGGATTAGAGCTCCTACTTCATATTAAAAACGTGCCCCTCTTTTACTTTTTTCTTTCTTTTTTTTTTTTTTCTTTTTTTTTTCTTTTTTTACCTACTACGTAAACACGTACATATGTACTTACGAAGGTATCTTTCTTTTTTCTTCTTCTTTTCTTTTTGTTTCTTTTTTTCTTTTCTTTTCTTTTCTTTTCTTTTCAGTTATTATTACTCGTGAGTTCGCGAAAAATTAACAAACTAGAGTGACACATTCGAATAATCCGCGACATGGCTTATTATCTTTCAAAAGAATCTCAAATTTTTTCTATGCACTCTGCTTTGCCTTTCGGCTAAGTCGGGTATTCGTTGAATGAATGACGGGAGAATGAATTCAAAGAAAGAAAAAGGTAAGAATAATAATTGCTAAGTTAAATAGCAATGGGGGAAATAGTCGTAGTAAAATATGTATATTTCAATGTAATTCTAAGAAAACATAATTTGAGTTTACCAGTATAGCTCGAATAATTTAACGTTTGACCTATCTCCCTTCCTACGCGAGATAAGAGATTTTTTATGAACGATATAAAAAAAATGCGTAATACAATAGGAATGTAGAATCTGCGTGAGAGTTAACGACCCAAAACTTTACCAAGAAAATCATCTCTTACGAAATTTTTTAGTAAAACCCAATTAAAGTCCCTATCGAAGGTGCAGTCTCAAAGATAAAAGTAAATGGCCCGGGGTATTATTTATGCAAATACGTGAGTTCGCATGGCGCATGCAAGTCGACTTTTATCGTAGGCAGCACGACATCAAGGTGGTTCACCTTTTCGCCGGGAAGATGCCAAGCTGCATCCTTGGCTCATTCGTGTTCAACGTGGAAATAATAAATCAGTGCGAATGGATCCTTCCAGGATCCATTCCGTGGAAGCTCATTTGCGTTTAATTCTTTTCCACGTAGCGTTGCATTTTTCCAATATTCAAAAGTACAAATGAAAATTGATCATGGTTTTTCGATGATTCTTAACCTAAAACGAAGACCTATTTATCGACCAGTTGGAAATACCAGAACACACTCGAAAAGGGAGCAACTACGATTTATGGAAACGTCTTAGCTCCAAAACTTCCCCTACGTACGTTGACTCACAGTTGGCGTTCCTATTAAATGCGATTGCGACTTTGACTTGGCTGTATTCCAGAGACGTCCGCCGTTCACCTATATTGGACGAGATGAATTTACTAATCGGGGTCGCTGCACCCCATACTATACCCCTATGTCATAACTAATAATCCTCTTCTATCACGATCTACCTTTAAAAGCTTTTCAACTTTCATCTGATCTCATCAAAATTCGTTGTATAATGGAACGAACCAGGGGATTACTATGACATCTAATACAATGTAATGTGTACTAGTAACAATGCCATTATCAAAATATCAAACCGAATTTATGTGTAATAATTGAATGTTATTATTTTACATTTGATCTATGAGACATTGCGATGCACGTGATGAGAACTAAAGTTCCTCAACCGGTTCATTAAAACTTTCAGATAAATAGGTCACTATAGGTCATCCAACAATATCTCGACGAATAAGCGATCAACAACTGGGTCACTCGATCGTCGTCGAGAAAAGATCGGGATACGATAAGAGATTGAAAAATAAATTTATTGTATTAAACACACACAATCGAGGAATTTGGCATCTAAAAATTGACGCAACAACGTGGAACACGGATAACGAGAAGGAAGAAAATTTCGTATTATGGGAGGAGTCGTCTTCTTAGAATTATTTTAACGAGATTCGCGTGTCTGTGCGCGCAGAGAGATATACAAGGGTTATGCACGCGAACGACCATACCGATCGTTTCCTACAATTTCTAGCAACGAGTGGGTAGATAGGATAAACAAAAAATAAAACATTAACCATCAATATTTTTATCTATTCGTTCGTAACATTTCACAAGCTAATTCTAAAGGTCTCTCTCTCTCTCTCTCTCTCTCTCTCTCTCTCTTATTTACATTTCGATTTGACAGTTGACACAAAATCTAACTACGCGAAATCTCTCGAGAAGCGTGATCATTGTTCATATTTTAATTAAAAACTACAATTAATTATTATTTCAAATGTTACTTACTTTGATGTGCTTAAGCTTATCTCTACGTTGTGATTCCTTTTGAAAAATTGCGCGCTTAACCAAAAAAAGGTGGTGTCTAAAAGTTCGACGATACTCGCATCGGACACTCCTTAATCTTCTTTTATAATATTTTCTTCTTCTTCTTCTTCTTCTTTTTTGTTAACTTTTTGTGATCTTCTTATTCTCCGTGTTTAAAGGCAAAATTGTAAGACAAAAGGATTTTACGGAGAAATCTTTGTCCAGCGCGCGACCGTTTTAACGGAGTGGTGGTCCCGCGAATACTGAGCCTTTCGAGGTTTGCGTCCTGGTCGATAAGCCACCCTTCCTACCACCCACTTGCATCGTGTCGAAGTTACCATCATACCGAGCTTCACCCGACTCTCCTCCTACTCCCCTATTTTCCCACTCCCACATCACTCTCCCCTTCTTTTTCCTATTTCCTTCCTCCATACACCACCATCATCACTACCACCAACACCACCACTAACAACAACACCAACACCATCACTAATCTTCTCTTCCAGCTAAAAACGCATACACACACCTTTAACATTTCGTCACATACACGATACAGGCACGTGTACACAGTATTGCGATTGATACTGTCACTGTAAACATTCGTCACATTACTCACGTGGGCTCATGCACCCACACGTGCAAGAAATATAGGTTTATATGGGTTTAAACCTCTTTATAAATTTATAATTACGCCTGGTTGTATATGAAAATCTTCTGATTAATCAAATAATGTTTTACGTCATTAAAATTTATTATCAATTTATTAGGACAATACTATCGAATTATTTGAGGTATCTCTCTCTCTCTTTTTGTTCTTTCTCTTTCTGTTTCCTGTAAAGAAGATGCAAAGAGAAGGGCCAAAGGGTGGTGAGCAAGGAACAATGCGAACAAAATAAAAGAGAACAAGTTGGGGTTCGTGAAAGAACGCTCGACCTCGATCAACCAAGTGGATCGTTCGTGTCACAACCTAAAGCGCCATCCACCCCGAGAAAGGTGAAGAAAATCGAGGGACAATCTCGGGTCATCTGCGATTGCTGACCTTCGACCTCGACGACCGTTAATTGTATCGACTGGCTGGTATATATAGAAATATTGCAAAATGATGGTTAACTTCATCAAGAAACTTGATGAAAACAAATACGAACACAACCGTGTGGTGTTTACGAGTTCCATGTTTGGCTAAATGATGGACAAATTTTTTCTCGCAATATTTTACATTCATTTTTTAATTAAAATATATCTCTTCGAATATAGAAATTAATTTCAATTCCATAACATTCGAATGAATTCGACATAATCGATTAGAATAATCTGAATTTAAGTTGTTAGACATTTGCTAAATGTAAAATAATTATTTTTATTTATACACGTATACGGATGGTAAAACGAAACATTTCTATTTTTTCATTTGACGAAGGATAGTAAACAAAATAATAAAAAATAATTTGTAGTCTTCTGTTTTACCATCACGTAATTAAATCCATAACGACATAGTTGCATTCCCGACCGTAGGCTAGTAATCTAATTTTTCTTTTACTAATTAATTTCGTTCCTTTGAAAAAAAATGGATGGCGTAAATGGTATTATACGCGGAAACTTTTGATATATCTATTTCATGTACAAACCAAAATTCACACAATTTAACTTAGTTAGAAATGAATTTTTATTATCTTTAAAATGATGTATCGCAAAATACGGGAATGTTATTTAAAATTTCCAAGTAAAAGTTGCTGGAATGAAAGGAACGATACTAAACATTTTATCAATAAAGATTTTCTAATAGGAATTGAGTAGGATTGCAAAAGGTTTGCTTTGAACGAATAAAGCCTGGCAAAAGAAACTAAAACACGTATAGTAATGTTATGATACTTGCCTCGATAAGCCGGAAGGACGCATATTTCTAGAATATTAATAGGAACATTCAATTAATTCCGATAATTTTATTCGGCACCGTGAGGATAGATTTTCAAATATACGTGCATACGTGTTTAATTCGAAATAGAAACGGAAATTGTTAAATACGAGCAATCGAAAGATTAGCCTTCGAATCATCCAATGACGTAAATATAAAATCACGTGGGCGAGATATAAATGAAAAATATTGCCGAATAAAATTATCCCCCAATGCTTTTCAAGTTCGATGATTGAATCAATTTTAATTCTCCATTGAACAAATGAAAATCTATTCAAATATTTTCATGTATCGAATAAAAATTGTTCAATACAATATTTAAATCGATAAATTACTTTTTCTTTTTTTTTATTTATTTATTTTCTTTTTTTTTTTGTTAGTGAAAACGTTTTATTAAACTCTGAAAGTTACAATAGCGGTAGAGTTTTTTTCTGGATTTATTTCTTTTTTTTTCTTTGTTTTTTTTGTGTTTTTTTTTTTGTTTACTTGCTGTTTGCTATAGAATCACATATAGGATTACAACATCAGCGTTTCTTTAAGGAGAGGCTATTCACGTGTAACTGACATGGTATATCTTTTCTTTCCCCATCTTATTCTTTCTTCTTTATCATCGTCGTAATCATACCTTTTTGCAATGATCGAACGTATATACTTGTACATATTATATCATGAGAAAGTATGCCTTACAACATGTTTACTTTACAATCTATGTAAAAATCGTAATGTTATCATCGCATTTTCTGACTGCAACAAAGGGGTAATCCCAAAAATATATGTATTTAATATATTTATCCGATAATAAACGAACAAATGACATCAATTTGTACGTAAAATCTATAATTAATAACTTATTACATAAGATAATAATTAATAATCTAAAATCCATCTTACAGAGCTATCCATGTTGATTATCCGTAAAAAGCCCTGATTCGTAATAACGGAGTAGTTCCGAACTGAATAGGAGGAACTTATTATGTATATATATATATGTATATGTATATGTATATGTAAATGTATATGTATACTATATGTTTAATGCATATATGTATACGTATGTATGTATATACAAAACATTGCGTGCGTACACCTGTGTATAACCAGTCAGCGAATGCTAGTTCGAAAGAATTGCATATGCGTGTATATAATGATTAAAAATAACGATCGAGAGATTGCCTTTCTTGAATCGTTTATATACTTTCCCTCATTATTATGTATGTATGTATATTTTAATTATATACCGGTTATCTATGGATTCATTGAACGATCGCAACGCGTTTTTTTGAATAGTTCGTTTCTACGATCGTTCCACGGCACAGAGGGAAAAAGTATCTTATTATCACAATATGAACGTTCATCTTTTTCATTTTCTTCATCTTTATTTTATTAAATAAACCCTTAAACCTTTTTTTTTTTGTTAGTTGCCATTTGTTTGTTTGAATACCCTGAAGGGGGTATCATATACACGTTTAACCGATACTCTGTGCGTTTTAACATAAGAGGTTCATACTTTTTCTTTTATTTTATTTTTGATACATATAATATNTTTTCTTAACTTCAAATTTATATTTAAATATCCACGGTAATAATAAAATTTCGTAGTCTAATTTTAAAATTGAATAACATATTATATTCATGTATAAGAGAGAAAAAATGCTTCGCGAAAAAGAAGATAGGCTCGCATGAAATACGATTTAGAAACTACAAGATCACGTGAGAATTCAAGAAAGTTCAGATGCCTATATAAGTTGTGTATTGTGCTTGGCATATTACATATTTCCTAATATTTTTTATTTATTTATTTATTTATTTTTCTTTTCATTTTTATATTTATTTTTTTTCTTTTTATTTTATCGCGTTCTACTATTTTTGTTAATTATTACGCATTAATTAGCTCGCGTACGAACTCAAGCAAGTTCTCACTAATAGATTATTACATTTAGATCTTTCGCGAGACGTTTCAACGATTTTTAATTTCGAAATAACTCTTGCATATTATAAATTGAAATTATTTTCTATCGAACTATTGTACTAATCTTTCTCAAAAAGTTTAAAATATAAATAAGAAAAAGAATATGATAATTAATAATGAAATGATGTCTCTTAAGCATCGTTAATTAGTCCTCGCATTTGATCCAAGTATTTTTCAAGAAACTTAACTACGTGCACACGCGGCTTATTTTATTTATCATAGACACAACTTATTGTTATTTGTAGAAATCCTCGTGACACTTTCTTGTCGTAATTCGAAACTCATATTCGAATTTAATTCGCAGAAAACGCCGGGCAGGAGCGTGATACTATTATAATCAATGAACTAACAATAATGATTAATATTCTACGTTACACAAACGAATGTTCACGTATTTGGTTAATTGCGTTAATAAAAAGAAAAACGGGCGCAAAAAGTATATGATATATATGAATATTGCTGTTACATGTTATATATATATATAATATAGTATAATATGGTATGTATGTATATATATGTATGTATATAGTGAAGCGTTTCAGAATAACTCGCTTGCGAATTATCGAGCATAGAATTTTGTTATTTTAATGACCCTCACAACTACGATCCATAAAGTATGGTGTAGAAAATTGGAAGAAAATTATTAGGATTAGTAGAAAATGCAAATAAACAAATTCCATTTGTTTAATTATAACGATAGAAATATTACTATTTAAATATCGGCGAGAATGGAAGAAATCTTTATTTTATTCGAAGAAGCTGCGTTTTCATAAGCGTAATTCGTTTTTCTTTATGGTTGTGTATTTTTTTTATTTTTATATTATTTATTTATTCTTTTTTTTTTTTTCTCTTATTATCCATCTTTTTTTCCACGTGCTCTGGATCGTATTTCGAATTTAGATATTATTGGCCGTTTTGCACCGTTTCTTCACCTTTCCAACCCTCTTCTAAACGTTTTTAGCTCGTAGCCGCATTGTAGAACAAGGTAACGGTAAAAACGTATTAGAAGGGGATCAAAAGGAAAATACGCGCTTTAGAAAATTGCATTGAAAGTTTGTCGTTAGAGAGCTTAAATTATCATACTATTTATTATGTATTTACACGCGTTAGTTTTCAAAGGGAAGTTCGAGCTTTTACTGTGTCCATGGTTTTTTTTTTTTTAAATGCCACAGCGCGCTAAAGGTATATTATGTATTTAATTAGTATGTAAACCACTTACTTCGCGTTCAAGATCGATAATTCTTTTTGGAAAAATCTCGAAGAGAAATATTTTTCATCAAAAATTAACGATCGCGGTTACGAATTAGGAAATAACTTTCTTATAGTTATAAATAATTCACTATATTATATTATATTATATTATACTATATTATATTATCTTATATATTATATATATATATATTACTTTATATCGATTCTTATCTTTAAATAGACATTTCATACTA